GCAATACGTTCTGGAGTGAGATGCCGAAGGCTTCGTGATTCTCGTCGCTCAGTGTTATCATCCATATCGTCATTGAACCAATCACTTCTACCGTCGGATTCAAGTCTAAATATGTAGTTTTTAAGAATCGAATGCAGTGAATGGCGAAATAGTATTTCCATTTGACAGAAATTAAGGGGAAATTTTTTAAGACAAATATCACACTTACTTAAAATGGAGAACATCAACATAAGTTCGATATACAGCCTTGAGAGTGCGCTGCTTGCTGGAAATCCTTAGGGGTATGGCTCTATAGATACCAGTAACAATGACACGATCACCAGGTTGAACCTTCTCAACAAGGTCCTCGTGAGCAAATAGGCAAACGGTATGGGGAGTTTGACTTGCAGGCATGTCTTCCGGAGATTCCTAACAAATTTTCAGAGTAAATACTAGGTAATTACTTAAATATACCTGAAGTTTAATCATCTGTTTATCAACAAAGATGCAGCGATTATGCATTAGTTGATTTGTGTGTGCCGCGTGACAACGGACACAGGCACTCGGCTCAGCTATGCGACCTCTCTCGCAGGGGACAGTGGTAGTTGATCCGCAGACAGAACAGGAGAATTCAGCGCGCATCATTTCAGGTATAAGAGCTGATAATCGTATGACTAGTCCACGAACAGTGACCAGTTGGTCAAGATCATCCGGATCTAAATTACGCAAAGTTCGAGATTTTCCGCAATTAAATGGTCGTATCTAAAATTAACAATGAAGGCTCCACATTAATATTTAGCTCGATACAATTTTGAAAAATAAAAATTATCATCAATAAACCTGGATAGGACGATCAGGGTTGGCTTCACGGAAGCGATCAACGAAAAGCGCGTGAGCTGCAGCATCACAGGCGGGGATAACTTCTTTAGGAAAAGTAATAAGTTGAACGTATAAATCAAGCCTAGCTAATTGAAGATGAGCGCAATTAATATCCAGGTGTGTCTGTCCGGAAGCAACAAGATCTTCCATTCTTTGCAAATACAAAGGCCGGGCAGGGTCCACAGACTGTCCTGTGCAAAGAGGGGATTCGTCCACAAGACTGTCGGGAATAAAAGTCAAGATAAACCGTTTGAATCTATCCATAACTTGGCTTATGTTGACGTCGGTCCCCCAGATCACCGTCTAATTTAAATTAAAAATAAAATAAAATACGCCAACGACGAGTCTTATATAAAAACGTAAGTGCATTACCTGAGCAGTAGCACTCATGCCGCTATCTGTAGTTCCCATTAGACCACCAGTTGCAGGAACAAACGGACCAGAATGTAATGCACCCGTTACAGCCTCATCATTTACCCCCGGTCGAATAGCAGAACTCAAAACATCTCCACGAGTATGAGTTGTTGTGCCAGTGGCACTAGACATGTCGCTATACGATAAAGGACTTCCAGGTTCAACCTCGGAAGTACGGAGTCCAGACCTCAGATCCTTTTAGGGGATGCGGAATAATAAATTTAGAAAGTTAACGACAGAAACTGAATTAAAAAAATATAAGCGTTAATAAATGACACTTAGGCATTTATACATACTACATGAAATTATACAGGGACTTACAACATGACTTTGTGCTTCGGAGGCTTCATCCAGACGCCTGGCCCCGACAGAGGCGGTAGTTGATGCTTCATCAGCATCACTAGTGTGAGGCTCAGCTGTATTAACATCATGAAGAAAAATATCTCTAGAGGACGGTTCCGCGTTAGCAGCGTTACGACGAGCACTACGACCAGGGCGCATAGGCGTGTCTGTTGAGATACCCAGGGAGGGGCCCGTAAAATGCGGGTACTTTGAAAACGACCAATTGCAAATCACTCAAACAAAATATAAGATTAATTATACACCTTATTAAATATTATTGTATAAATTCTGCCAAATACCTTAATCTCTCTGATCTAGTATTGATGATTATTTCTTACATAGGATCTCCGATTTTGTGCATTCTCGCAGTCCACGATGCAACACCAAAAATTGTTATGAATAATATGGCGGATGACTCAAGTCGAGGTCGCATTGGCTAGAACCAAGTTAACATCAAGTCGGGCTAACTCTATATAGCAAAATGGTACTGCTACTAAAATTGATGTCAGAATATCCTGGTCTGCACGCTCTCGAGTAAAGAAATGAGGAGCATTTAGATGGAACAATTGTA